TGCACTTTGGGGATCGACCCTCCTCCCTAATTGGTAAACCTGGCCTTGACCAACTGTAGTATGCGGCAATCAGCATGACGTACCGAAAAAAAAAAAAGGAAGTAAATGAAAATGAGCAGAAATGGCCTAACACTGATAAAATATTGTACTTGTGTCTGAAATAAATGCTAGTTAGTGAAGTTACAGTGGAAATTTTAAGGAAAAGCTTTTAGATTTGAGAAAATTCAGCAAAGAATGAATAGAAAAACATGACAAATAATGAAAAAATGTTGCAGAAATTCTGATCTAGTTTGATTATTTGGTAAATGGTAAGACGTTTAGCAAGTGACAGTTTGGGGTCATTCAAAGGTACTGCAGGCAAATTTGAAAAAAAATATAAAGATTTATTAAAAAGGAAAAGAGGGCTCCTCACACTAGGAAATAAAAAATGATGAAATAAGTATAATATTTAAAAGTTTTGGATATCATTTGAGGTAAACTGATTGGAGCAGACACAGCAGAAACTTAAATGAAAAGCATGTGCAGTTGTCTGTTATCATCAAAAATACTATTTAATTATACAATCTTTCAGCAAAGCATTTCATAAAAGAAACCATAATCCATTAATTTGGAGGTAATCAAAATTTGTATGTGTATATTTTAAATTGGAAAATCTACTTGTTAATATCATTCCATTTTTTCACAAAAATTATTTGTCTTCTTTCTCAAAATTTAAGTGAAAAGAAAAAGATCAGAGAAAAAGAGAAACAATTTAACACACATTTTTTCCTGAAAAACATCCTTTATTATAGTGAAATAATAAAGAACAAACATAATATTGGCATGCACATACTCAAAAACAAAATTACTCTTTCACTAGTATCTAAAAATCAAAAGATCTATTTCTAGGAAAATGTATCAAAGCAAACTGTAAAGTGCTGTTTTGGATTTCATCTGGAATCTTCATATCCACTCCACTGTTAGACTGGGATCCCATACTTAGATCAATTCATCTGAATCGATCTAACTCCCTGCTATCAGCTCAAGAGGCTTAAATGTCTGTCACGCCTACCAAATCAGCTAGGGATAAAGATAATTACCACCTACAGCTTTACTAGGCGTGACAGACGTTTAAGCCGGTTAGTTTGATAGCAATTTAGTGAGACTCCCCAGGGAGATAGATCGATCCAAATATCTGTGGGAATGGTCCCTTTCATTGACTGAATTGTTTCACAAGAACAAATATTTTGTATGGGTTTGATATATCACTTCATAATAAGTTTCATCATAACTACCAACATCTATTCTGCTTTGTGCGAGATATAATAATTATTCCCTCCTGAGCCTTGCCTCATCTGTGGAATGACCATCACAAATTTTATGCTCAAATATCTTTGGTCTCATAAATCTGTATTAGTGAATAAAACAGTGTCGTAATCATTTTCTGTTACTGAAGGACAGAGTTCTTTATGGACAGTGATCTCTGATGACTGGCTGTCTGCTACCCCCATTGGAGTGAGTGGGGCTGGTCATGTCCTTTTTTAGAGGGATTAGCAGGTTCTAATCCTATTAGGGGGATTAGCAGGTTCTAATCCTTTTTAGGGGGATTAGCAGGTTCTAATCCTATTATAATGTGGGTTGGAGAAATTGGTTGGTTTGTTGTGGTCTTCAAAATTCTCTGTTTTGTTGTACTCTGGTTCCATTGCATCCTATGAGAAAAAAGATGAGCACTTTAGACCAATGAATAAAAAGAAAATTTCCAGTTAATGAAGCATAAATATAAAATGTTTTCACAGGCAATTTGTAAAAAACAAACAAACAAACACCCCCCCCCCAAAAAAAAAAAACCAGAAGATGAAGCTATACACATACAATATATGCAAAATACTGAAAACTTCAAAGTTCCAAATCTTCTGTCTTTTGTCTCAACTGAGTATCCAATTTCAACCCTCAAATCTTTTACTGACCACATTTCTATACAATAAGTGACTATGTTTACCCCATTCTGTGCCACAGAGCTGTCATATACAAAGTCTGGCATACTGATGGCCACAACATTTCCTCCATGGAAAGTCACCATTCCAGCAGGTGCCCCAGTCTGAACTCGCCCCCAGCCACTGGAATGCAGGGCCTTGCTCATACTGAAATTATAGCAACAACTATTTCAATATGCAGGGAATAGTTTGATATCATTATAGATTAAGATGTAGACAGTATCAGGACTATC